ATGAATGTCCAGAAAAAAATCTGAATGAGAGGCCGGTCTTATACTAGTATTTTGGGGACAAACTGGACTGAAAGGAAACACTTTGTTAAACCGCTGGTGTAGGAGAGCAGTGTGAACCAGTGATGAACAGAAGCAACTGAACCCAGGAGGTCAACATCAGTTTTTTTGCCACCTTGTGGTGGACGGTAGAAGAATCAGTTTGCCAGCAAATACTCCTGTTGATCTTTGGCATTAAGCAGTGGTGTTTTTTGAAGTGGGTAGGAAGAAGAGGGAAAATTCCAGAGAAGACGTAGAAAGCAAAGGTGAGGAGTTAGACAGAACAGCAGGACTTCCTCAAGACCTTTCTTCTGGAGCATCCCTGTAGGTCACTGTACCTTCACACACTCCTCTGCAAACCATTAAATCCAGTGTGGAATCCAGTCTCTGTCAATGCAAGTGTTCAAAAAATATTAAAAGACTTAAATCTGTCCCTAGTATACTTTTTGTGCATTTAAAGCAGGGAACAACAGTGCTGCCATGTGGGACGAATGACGCATGAAAAAAGACTGTGTAGGCTATGAAGGAAACTGACAATAAAAAAGCCAAGTGGTTACATGTATTGACCTACAGGGTCTCCCTGCTCTGCCACAAGCTTCAAGCTTTTGCCTTTTGTTTTTTATAAAACAAAACTAAGCGCACATAACTTTACCATCTATGACAAGGCATCATGTGATGCAACAATTTACCTTTGCCATTTGAGTTATTGGCCTCTCTGCCAGTAAGTTTGCTTCATGCATTGTACATTTTCTTGAAGAAAACTCCTCATATAAAGAATACATCCTGTGAAGAGATGGATGCGGCTACCAGAACCGAAACCTCCTCTTATGCAACACCCTCCGCAAGTTTGCTACTGAAAACAAGAAGCAAGTTATCTTAAAAGATGTCACACACAAATAGAGGGTAATTTGCTGCATAGTGAGAGAAGCCAAAGGAACAGAGACATCCATGTATCAGGTGAGTGTCCCGCTGTGATCCAGGGAGCTATGCCCAATCCACGGCCATACCATGTGAGATACATGGACTACAGTTTCTTCGCACACTTCAGCCAAGTGCACACCTGCAAGTCAATCCGACCGGGGAAAAGTGCTGCCGATCCAACAATGGATTCTCTCATTTACTTCACATTTACTTTACTTTCACACTGAGATGATTCCAGGCTATTAAAAAAAATGCATGCTTACTTTTGAACATGTGAGTCCAATTTTATGTTTATATAATGTGTGAATGTGTTAAAACTCAGTTTTTGGTTCTCTCTTCTGCCCATATTTTTTCTTCTTTCCTCCTTTGATATGAGTTGATCCACTAGATTCAATGCTGGTGAAACTATATCATACCACCACCACTGATAACGTACAACCCTAACCAACCTCAGGAAGAAGAGGAGACATCACAGTGTCACTATTATACAGCACCAGATGAGAAATTAAGAAGCTTAACATCTTCAAACGCTTAATTTTTTTAACATGATACAGTGTCGTGTTATTGACCTTAGCACTAGAAAGTGTGCACCAGAAATTACTGGTAAATTCTCATAATATGTGGTCAAATGTATCTTAAGGAGGAAATCACTACAGATAATTTTATTACTCTTAATAGCCTTCGGACATTATTTGGCCAAGCTCGAAGTTTTTATAGAAATTGGGAAACTGCCAGGCTAGGAGTTGAGCTAGATTAGCTTTGGGTTGTTTTTTTAAGACCAACCTGTCAGACGGATGCGTTCGTGTCTGTGGAAGAAGGCTAGCAATTAGCACAGAAATGCTGCGCATTTAATTTAAATATAGACGAGGCTTCGATGCAGCGAGTGCGTTGTGTGGAAATAGCCTTGCTATCGCTAATTCAACGGCTGAATGGGGAACAAGTAGAGACCCAGGACGTGAGGACATTTGAAAAACACGCATGTCCACTTGTGGTCACACCGAAACAAGTAAGTACATTTGAAATATTAAACGGCGCACTGATGACTGTGTAAAGTCATTTCGCATCCCAAATGTGTACCAAAATAGCATTATTGCTTCATTTAGGTATTTAGTTTTACATGAAACGTGTATTTTTTCATGCTCCTGATTTTATTTATTTATTTACTTATTGGATGTACGTGCTAATCGTTGGACAAGTGGCACAGAAGTTGACCCTTTATTTGGTTCAACTGACACTGGAGGGTTTTAGTAGATGAACTGTGCTTTTATAGTCCACTGATTATGTCTAGGCCTGGGCTTTGATGAGTGAACTCCAGAAGCTTAAATTGTATTCCTTTTGAGACATTTAAAGGTGAATCTGGTCTTATGCTTGGGATCATTGAGGCTGTGCATTACCCAACTTTGCTTGAGTTTCAGCTCAGGGACTGATAGCAGTTCACCCAATTCATTTTTATTTATATAGCGCCAAATCACAACAGCACTTGCCTCAAAGTGATTGTAAGGTGAAGACCCTACAGTAATACAAAAAAAACCAACAACCCATGAGTCAGATGATCTCCGATGAGCAGCACTTGGAAACAGTGGGGAGGAAAAACTCCCATCACGTGAGGCCCTTAGCAGCCTAGGCTCATTGCAGCAGGGAGGTTTCAGGGTCACCTGATCCAGCCTTAACTACAAGCTTTATCATAAACTTTTAAGCCTAATCTTAAAAGTAGACAGAGCACCTGTTCCCCAAAATCTAAACTCGTTGCACAGAAGAGGGGCCTAAAGCTTAAAGCTCTGCCTCCTATTGTACAGTGTAATACTCTCAGACTGATACCCATCAGTCTGAGAGCAAAGTGCCCTACTGGGGCGATATGGTACTATGGCATTTTTAAGATAAGATGGGGTTGTTCAAGACCAATTTTGGATTTAACAGAGTGAATGAAGATAAGCCAATATGGGAGAAATATGCTCTCTTTCTAGCCCCTATCAGTACTCTCACTGCAGCATTTCGGATTAACTAAAGGTTTTGGTGTTTGCCATCGGATTTCATGGATAGATGAGGCTGGTTATCATCTGCAGTGTAAATGTGTGCTATGCCTTCTAATAATGCTACCTAAGCAAAGACACCCCAATAACTTTAGTTTGCCACCTCCATGTTTCATCGTAATACATATTATGTTCTGTTTATAGAATTTTGTGTTTGATTTACCCAAAATATAATGAGACCACTTTCTATTGAGCAGTTGAATTTTCAACCACTGGGTGGACGGAGCACTCTCCCATCTACAAAAAAGATTTAAGGATCCTCAGTTTGTGTTTTGGCAAATTCACAAAAGCCTTTTGTATTCTTATTGGTTAGCAATTGTTTTTGCACTGCCACTGTTCCATAGCTGATTTTCCACTGTCTTTTGATCAGTGAAGTCTGACCTTTACTGATATGAAAACAGCCTGCTCCTTGTATGCTTTCATTAGATATCTTGTAACTTCCTCAATGAGCTGTCACAGAAGGATTTTTGGATAAGCTGCCACTCCTGGGAAAGGTAAATGTTGTTCCAAGTCATTTCTGTGTGTGGACAATGTATCCAAAGTTTTGTAGGCCTTTCCAGATATATATTTCAATCAGCTTCTTTCCTTTTATCTTCTTCTATTGTTTCTATTTAATTTTGGGACAGCAAGGTACCGGTGAGACTGTTTAGCCAACATTAAGCTATGTGATAAACTAAGTGGTAGAATAGTTTCCTTTTTTAGTTTAATAAATATAACTATCATTAAAAGCTTGTTCCAGGACTTTTATAATTATTGTTTTCTGTTGAACTGAAACAGTTTAGTTTAAAATAGAGAAATTGACAAAATCAGTAAGAAGACAAATTCCTTTTTCATTACACTGTATTTGAATAGCTTTTACATACAGTACTGTTCAAAAGTCTTAGGCTGTCTTTCATTTCTTTATAATTTGGTGGGAAACTAGAAATATGGGGCTTTGTTAAAACGCATATGGAAATAAAATATATAAGGCAAAAACAGAATCTGTATAATTCTAATGAGCTTGAAAGTCAACATTTGTATTGAACACATTTTTTTCTTCATTAAACTTCATCAAATGTCTTGAACAAGCTTTCTTGCCATTTTTTTAAGTAGTCGTTAAGTAGTAGTTCTCCAGGCTTCTTGAAGAATGTTCAAAGGTCAAAGATCATCCAACAGTACTGCAATAATGTTGAGGTACAGTCGATGACTGATAGTTTTCTCTAGTGTGTTTTCTATGTATGCCTTTGTGCATTAGCAGCATTTTTCTGGTTCATTATCATGCTAAAAGCTGAGCCCCTTTTCAATCAGACTGCTTCATGATGGGTCAAAATCTGGCAGTTCTTTCCCCACAGTGTGGGAGACCCATGCCTGCCCCATTGTTATCTTGATATTTTTCATAGATTCAGCTAAAAAATGGCTTTTTCTTTTTTTTTGGCAGACCACTAGTCCTTAAAAATACAATTTAAAGTTGCTTCTTTACGAAGTTGTCTTTTACATGTAGACATATCACTGATTCATCCCTTCCGTCAGTCTTCTCCTGCTTGAATCATTCACAGATTCGTTTTAAGTGGTTTAAAAAAAATTGGAAGATCCTCAGAAAGCCAGTAGAAGTTTTCCCCAAGCCCACTTAAAAATACAAGAAAGTCTCACTCCTTAAAAAAAACATTAAGAAACAATGGATGGCTGGAGAGTTTTTCAAAGCACTGTTGATGCAGTGTTTTTACTACGCAGTGAGATAACGTTGCGTCGCATATTAGGCCAATTTTTCCAGAATAAACAGCTGCGTGAGCTTGGAAATTCTTATTAATCATATATTCAACATATCAATGTCCTCTTACTTCGTATTTAAACCGGAAGTTTCCCGAAAGGACTCTTCTCCCTTCGCCCGTATCGACTTCCGCCCCGTGCCTGTTTGTAAACATGCGTCAAGACCACGTGATCCTGTCGACGTATTTCAGAGCCCCGTCCAATCAGAAAACGGGGGTGTGTGCGAGTGGGCGTGGTTGAATTCTGTTGCTGTGAAAATGTCGATGGACTACGGGTTTTCATTAGGGCAAGGGACCACTCTGGAGCCAATGTTAACCAAGAGGTTGATGGGAGGTTATATCAGCGACGAAGAAGCAGTTATAGTGAACCGGAGAGGTTGCGAAAGAGTCGCTGTCGGTAAGCAGCCTCATCATCAGATCTTCAGGAAGAAACTGTTTATTTACATCTACCGGCTGCTCCTATGAGTCATGTAACATAATCTGTATGTATATAGGCTATAGTGCCCCTACTCTGGGTGATGAGCTGTTTTAGTGATGTTTACTAACGTTCTTCGTTTGTTTGGGGGGGGGGGGGGGGGGGGGGTTGTTTTTTTTTTCTGTGTTATATAATTGTACTAGCGTTGAGCTTTGCTTATTTAAAACTACAGCTAATCGTAAAACAGTTGCTATGTTTCGTTTTATTAAAGGCCGATTAAAAATTACGCATGAACGTGATATGATTATTATAGTGCAGTGCGCAGTTTCCAGGGTTGCTTCCCAACGTTACCCGGAAATAATTTAGAAAAAAAAAGAGAAAAAGTATTTGTTACAAACTGTTCCCTTATAAAACATGTCTGTGCGCATTTGTGGCTCATTTTCTTCGGAGACAGTGAGAGGGGCAGAGTTGGGTGGGAAGGTGTGCTGGATGCTTACTGCAGGAGGATGTTGCGCACTTCAATTTACCCCCGGAGTGAGTGGTCCGTGCATCCATGCGGTACTGCGTAATAATTTGTTTTCGAGAAAGATGTTGATAACGTGTTTGTTTGTGACTTTTAGTTTGTCATTTCGGGTGCAGAATTTAAATTATTGAAATTTAGGACGTGTAGTCATGTGCATGAGTGTCTTGATTGAGTAAGTTTAAAATTAAGTTACAACACGGAGTAAAACTAGTTTACCTTGAAAACTGTAATTCATAATAGGTAAACCATAGAGAAGCTACTACTCCTCCAGTCACTTTGCGTGATATACTGACTTTGAATTGTGTTATGATTGCACCTGTCAGAGTGCGTCACGCTAATATAGCACAATTTATTCTTAACATGTTTAAACTGTCATGTTGAAAGTAATAGAAAATAAACAATAAAATATGACAAAACTTAAAATTATGTAAGATGTTTTTTTTTTTCTTCCGCTGTTCATGAGCAAAATTACATCCTTGAGTTACTAATTTCAAAACTTGCTCCCGATTTATTTCTAAAGGCTCATTTTTTGTTGTTTGTTGATGTTTATTGTGTGCCCTGTTGTTCCAGTGCCTTGACTCAGCTCCATCCATCCAGAGGTTTCTGTCATACGCACTTTTTATTCCTGATGTAAACAAACCGTCAGAGGGCAATACCTTCGATCACCAAAAGATGGCGTATTTATGAAGGGTTACAGAACAGTTTGTTCTGAAGCAAGAAAGTTCTCTAAACACTGTTCTTGGAATGAGTCAGATATTGGGAAGCATTGATGCAACACTACAGATTGAGGGTGAAACAGCAGCTTGCGCATCTAAATGAGGGGTAACGAATGTATTTTTCATTCATTTTTGTGCCTGGTAATGTTAGAAACCTCCAAATGACTGCAATCCTTTTAACAACTCGAGTTGCTGACGTCTTCAAATGCACATTAAGAGACCATTTTCAGGGTTGAGATTGAAATGCTATAGGAATGTTTCTGGAATTTAACGTAGTTAAAATAGACGACATAGTTCAACGTAGAAATAAAAAATGCTTAACCTCTCAGCTGATATTGCTGTTTATCTTTTCACAGAGCAAAAGTAGAGACACGCTCAACTTCCCTTGAAAGGTGAGAACCAGCACACTTCTCAGAAAACCAGGTCAGCCAAGTTTTTTGTAGAACAAATGGCAGAACAGAGCAGTAGTCCATTGTTTTTATCAAATGTTATCCAAAAGTCAAGTATCTGTGTGATATTTGCAATATTTTTGAAGGTTGTTAAGTCAAGGGTGTGGCCAGTAGTTGGTGATTATACCTACAAACAACATGTCACATTTTAACATGTAATATGTTACTTTTTGTTACCCTACTTTATCGTTTTTAGATATATAAAACTATGGACCTTTAAATAATATTTTTGTTCTAGATCATATCATATTTTTATCTATCCATCTGACATGGTTTTTTAGGAGCTTCTTCCGACGGCAAAGCTCTGCCAGATGTCTCTTCATGATACAGCGACTGATGCTTAACACTTCTGAGAGGCAACTTGAAACCAGGTAATAAAAGGTAAAAACTGTTTTGTTTTACTTAAGACAACATAGATTTTAGACTTTTTCTTTTTTAGCCTGAGATCAAAAATATGCGCAGCTGCATTCAGGATTTTTATTCTTTGTTCCCATTGCAGCCAGAAAACAATATCAATGGAGCTGACTGGGCACCTTTCCAAGGGAGAGATTAAGGTTTAGGAAGTGGAACAGGCATGGCTGATAGATGACATGGCTAAAATTAACACACTACCCACTGGATGAGGAGAATAAATAGCTGACAGGAAGGACCAACACTTTAAAAGCATGTACCCTTAAAGTCACATAATATAACTGTCAGCACAACCATTGTCACACTAAAACTTCCTGTTCCTGTTAGAGGGCTACAGATTGGACCCTTTAGCATTTCCCAAGTTATCAAAAATGCTGGAATATCTAGAAAGATTGGAAATGAATGAAATTATTTCATTTTATTCAATTTTAGAAAGTTTATGTTTTGTAGATGGCCAAGTTTAGAAATACCTGCAACTTAAAGTAAAAAAAATACTGCATCTTAAAGTAGTAGGTTAACTTAACATAAAGTGTTGCACTTAATAGCGTAAAGCTCAACGTGAAAAATATACTTCTTAGTCTTTTTCTAGTTATTTTGCAAGAGATGCACAGGACATCTTCATCCTAGAGGAGCAGATAGACCTCAATCCTCTGATCAATACCCTCTACTTCAACCGGTCTGCACGGAGCAAACATGCTTTGATCCCTCGGATCCCTTACATTTCCCATATAGCTCGAGGGTGAAAGCTGATTCTTTTAGCAATGCTCTTCTTTCTCAATCCTGTAAGGTGAAGCTGTGGGCTCTGTGTTCTTGGGCTCCAGTGGGGAATTAGGACATCACGAGCTACAAGTGCTTTAGGGAAGAAAATTTACAGCCACATGAAATGCTGGAAATCTACACTTGCAACTGGAGAATAATGGAAAATTTAAGGCATAAAAATAGAGAGCTTAGTTTGTGCTTCAGAGGCTCAATGAAGCCTTTGAACTCACTGTAAAACTAAAAGGTTTAGGAGATCAGTGTGACCGGACTGCAGTAGAAAAAATATTCTCAAAACATAGTTGACATCCACTTCAGCACTTGAGTACAAACTTGCAGTTATAATGTTAGGCTTAAACATTTTCCTCCGTGTTTTTAAAAATGATGAATTATTAATCAAAGCACTAGTTCAGTGTTAACATTGCCGTGTATCTCTAATATAAATAGGTGTGGTGGTGAAATGACCAGCAAACTTTATTTGGCTTTCGGTAGCTGAGACAAAGCTTTTGTTTCAGTTTAGTTTATAAAGGGCACTTTATGCTTCTGAAATGTGAACAGACCTAATAGGGACAGATGAGCTCATAAAAGGGACAGAACCAGGCTTGTTCCTCTTGTCGCCCTGCCCGGACGCTGCTTCCTGTATTGTTTGCATAGATTCAAATATCATTTTTGTTACGCTTAGCTTTCTTCAGACTAATTTTGTATATTGACACTGTGAATACATTCACCTAGTCTGTATATAGATTTATAGTTCGTATCTAATAATATACTCCGTCTGTTTTTATCTCTTTCCACAGACCATTGCGTGAATTTGTCGTATCGTCCGCAGTCGGTAGGAATAGCAGTTGTAGTGTTCACAAGGTACCATACTGTAGTTCAGGTAAAGTGTCGTGTCTAATGGAATATTAACAGATTGTCTGGAGTCGTTTCATAAGGTAAACAGAATGATTTTAATGGTTATTGTTTTTAACTTTCTCTTTTTATCCTCCTGCAGTGCCAATGTCTCATTTATATTAGAAATGAAGAAACATCTGTTCGAGGTATGTGAACAATCACACAATCTGCAACCCGAATTCTTAAAATAAACTCAGCTAATGTTTTACTGAATCAAAGCAGACTATTTATAAATCGGGAATCGCAGTCCTTTTAAGGACATCTAACGTAGTACCCATGTTTAGATCTTATATTTTAAAGTGTAATCACTTTAAAGTATAAGCTTACATTCTTTTTCACAATATACATGAAACGGTTAACAGCACAGTGCCCTGTGTGTCCTTTAGGGCAGCGCTGAGGTTGAGAGCACTGAAAGAGGAAGTATATGTTGTAGGGCTATTCACGGTCTTGATGTGTCAGAGTCAGGATGTGATGGTCAGTCACTTTGCACTACATATATTTTTCCTTCTCTAATCTGGACCTTGGCGACTGAATGCGGAACCATATGCATTCTACAACCTGTACAATGAATCTACAGTAAATCACCATATTAGGTACATACAGCATAGCCACACAGTGTTAAACAGGGTCCTGTTTGTTTCAGAGATAAGTCAGATTCTTCCTTAGACAGCTTTAAAAAGCCAAAGGACCATTTTAGTGCTTATGCAACAGATACACACTCTGGTGATGTGCCTTTAAAACCAGTGGCTTGTCAGGTGATCGAGGAGGCTCAGTCAGTTCTGCCTCACAGACAGAGAAGCCAGAGTGTGTCTCTAGCCGAGAGCAGAGAGGAGAGTGCCAGAGAGAAGGGCAGCGGAATGAGAGAGACCCAATTATAAGGGACATAGGGGGAAATGGGGACACAGCAACGTCACAGAGTGGGGGAGAGGGAGCCTTGGTGGTAGGGTCCCTTTAACTGCAGTCTGCTCATGCTCACTTGCCTTCTCTGGCACCTAGCAAGTGTGTTTCTGTCTCAGCTTGATCAAGAGGCTGCGTTGTGTAGCCACAACAGTGGTACAAAAGCACAGAGAATTAAGTGCTGCGTCACACTCAGGAAGAGGAATTGCGTGGCTAAGCGCGCGTGTGCACAGCTGTGCGTGTGTGTGCGTGAACGCGCACGTACATATGCATTTGTGTGGGGTCTATTCTGTTTCTGTGTATATGTGTTAGCTCGAAGTAGCAATCTAATGGCAGTTCTGCTGTTGCAACAAGATGAAAATAAAGAGTGCGTGTGTTTTAAGAGCCAAGCAGAGGGAGATACAGAGAGGGAGGGAGTGCAAGCCAGAGAGTGAGAAAGAGAGAGAGATTTTGGATTAGTTGCTACGTCACTTTTTCATGTCGGGAGAAACAGAAGCTGAGATAACAGAAGCCCAGAGTCATCGTCAGTCGGTTTCCACCTGGAGTGAACACAGTGGTTTCGGATAACCTCGCCTTTCTCCTCCTCTTCCTCTTCCTCCTTGGTAGTTTTGATCTGCTCTGCCTGTCGCTGCTTTCTGTGTGTGTGTGTGTGAGCGTGTGTGTTTGTGTGCGCGCTGTGTAGTTCCTGTGAGCTGATACCGGAGTTTCAACATGGATGCTGAAGATGTGACATAGTTTCACTAGGTCTTGTTATGATAGCAGGGTAAGGTGTGCGTAGGGTGGGCAGAGGTGCGACAAAAGGGTTAACAAAAGAATATTCTGGAGAGTTCTTAATATCACGCCGAAGCCCAGTCAGGAATGTTTTGCCGAGAATTATCGAGGCATTCGAACAACGCTTCTTTTTTCCTTCTTCTTCTTTTTGTCAACATCACCTCAAGAAATCCGGATGGCTACATTAGTGGAAATAGGTGAATATAGTGGTTGCGTGGCGCTGTCTGACCTATTATGAAACAGAGTATTACATGTGTAATACACCAGCATTTACTTGTGTGTACAGATCCAGCAACGTGGACAGCATAGAAAATGAAATGAAATTGCAGAATAAGTTTGTTGTTAAATTTAGGCACACAAATGACATTATTTTTTATTGTTTTGTCACCACGCATATGAAGTACATGTGTACGTATACGCATATTCACATTGTTGACTGTAGGCCTACTTTTTGTGGTTAGCTTACGATGAAGCTGAAGCAAAGAGTGAGCATCCAGGAAGAGATGTATGTATGTGTGATGGCAGAGACTGTTGAGGATCCAGCTGTATCAGATAACAGCATGTGGCTAGTGGCACTTTTATCATGTGATTTGTTTTGTTTTTTTACCCTCAAGGGCTACTGGGATCTGGCAAAACCCTTCCCAGGACACATTTGTTTCTGCGTAGTTAGGAGAGATCGGGATGATGACGCAGTCATTTATGGGCTGGACTTCTCTTTAATCAGTGCACAGCTCGTATCTCTCCATTTCTGTCCGTCTGTTTATCCGTCTCCTGTTCTCGGAGAAAGGGACAGGCGGAAAGAGCTAAATGTCATGGCTCAGGTTCAGAGAGAGAGAGAGAGACACTGATAAAAGAAGGATAGATGAGACGAGAGGGAAGTTGTTTACCTTGTTCTCTTGGTGACTCTGCCTTGGCTTCTCTCCAGTTCACATGCAGTGGACTTCCTAAAGCTGCTGCATCACAGGCCATCGTGCCAAAGCTGAATTCTCATTGGATGGGAGGAGCTCCCCTGGCTCCACGAGCTTCACAGCAGTACTTTATTGGTTTTTAGCAAGCAAGTAGCTGGAGTTCAATACCTAACTGATTGGGGAGGGCTCTTTTTTTTTTTTGTTTTGTTTTGTTTTGCTGTTGCAGAAACACTTTTCCATGGATACAACCTTAGCTTATATGTTTATATGATTTTGTATTGTTCCAAAGAGTTAGGAAAGTGGCAGTTGATAAATCAGTTGTTTAAAGCTGCGTTTTTACAAGTAGTTCTTTTGTTACGTAACGATCAAAACAGTAATGACATTTCTGACTGTCCCTGTCTCTTATGGGCCTTGTTTGCACCGTGTCTTACAGGTTATATGAATTTCAGATCTTTAAAAACTTATAACATGTACACATTTATTAGAAGGTACTGGGATCCATAGAAGTTTCTCATTTCATTTCATATAAATTAATATTCTTTTCATATCTTTTGTTAAGGCATGAACATTATTAACGTGTGAAACGACAGAGGTCCATTTAAATATGTTTATTTGATAGCTGTTATATTTATTCTGTGTTCTCCTTATCCTTGCTTCTAGATATGTTTTCGTATTTTTGCCTCCGAGGTGCTTTGCACAGAGTCTCTAGGCTGTACCAGATTTAATTAGAATTTATGAACTAGAGGTACATCAAAGGAATTATGTCTTTTTTTTTTCCTCAGGTATTCAAACCACATTACATATTCACTTACAGGACCTTGCTCATTTAGAATGACATATATTTTACTTTCTTGAAAATCAAAGGAAACTGTAGGACCTGTGAAATAAAATGTTAAACGAGGCCTTGTCGTTTACTATGGACTGAGCTGATCAGTATTTTGTGCATAGCGCTCTCCCTGGCGCTCAGATACCTGAGTACTTATATGCTGCAGATGGCAACTTCAGCAATTATATAAATCCTCAGAGGAAAGCGGTTTTCTGGTCCTTTGTGCTGGAAGTCCAGTGTTCACACTATGCTACATTTCTGAAGTGATGCAAGAGCGCGTGTGGCTGTTCAGTGGTCTGCATTGCAGCTCCTGCCTCTGGAGTCAGTGTCGCGTCTGTGCCTCGCTCTCTATTCTAAACCTGCTGATGCTGTAAAAAGCTTTTTACTCTCACGGCTTTTTAAAAATGTTCCCCTTGTAAAGATGATTATGAAGAACATGATTTCTAGCATCACCACTAAAGGTTCAGTTCCAGCTATGTTAAAAATATTGAGAAGGGTCGTGGTGTGTCGTGCCCCCTGTCCATCCACACAAGGCATAATGTAGCACTGTCAGATACAAAAAATACCGTGTATTTGTTCACTGCATAAAATTGACCGATCATACTTGTTTTGACAAGTACAGCTCTAAGCAATAATGTTACTTATCATGCATGTTTCACTGCAGTTTTCTCCCAGCATTTTAATCCCAGAGAAGTAAGGACTGGTATTTATCGTCGTTATTCGCGAGGTGCTTCACAGTTCCACTGTGAATCTGTCGATGACTGCTCTCTGAAGGCCTCCTGTCCCTTTAAATCTTTTATAAGCATTACACAACAGGTCCAGTGGCACACAAGCAACAAACAACCCGAAAAAGAAAGCTCACAGGGTTGGGTCGAGGCAGCCAGGGGAAGGAACCAGACACCTACAGACAGACAGGCCCTCTGATCAGAGCCGTCACTGTGGCTACCACGCAAACACACTCGCACACATAGCCGTATTCTTCCTCACACACAACCAACCGCAACAAACAAACAAAATGGTTTTGCTTGGTCAGTCTGAAGCCTGATAAGGGCTCGTAAATGCCGTGGGGATTTTGTCCTTCCTCCCATTGTGAAAATCAAAGTTGATATTTTGAGGCTCATGCTAGGGCTCCCTGATTTGGTCTTTAATCAGTTTAAAGACTAAGTAGTATTTGTGGGAGTTGTCTTTGTAAAGATGGAGGAATTAGGGCAGAGAGTGTTTTCGCAGTTTTAAAGCAAAATCCATTTCATTTGCATGCAGAGAGCAAAAATAGAAAAAGAACAAGGATCGTAGAAAGGATTGGGTGGTTATGTACTTTGTTGAGGCACAAAGTCGGTGAACTGGCCACTACCTGTCGCTGCCCCACCCTCCCAGTGTCTCATAGCCGTGTTTCTGCGTCACAGCTCGCATTGTCTGCGATTGACTGCTACTTCCCTGCTTTTCTCTTTTAGTGGCTGGAGAGCAGCATACAATCATCCTCTCTATTCTTTTGAGCAACCGAGAGAAGAGGATTTGTCAAGGTCTGTTTGCATAGAGCTGCAGGTGAGCCCGTATGTTAAAGACATACAGTACAGTGGCAGGATTTTCTGTGTATCTGTTCTTTTTTGGCCCATCACACATCCACGAAGCTTGGATCAAGTAGCAGATCAGCCGCGTGGGCGTGTTAGAGAGAAATAGATTGAGACGGAGAGGTGTTCTGGTGCTTTCTCAGTGCTTTTCATTTCATCTCTCTCTCTTTATCTGCTTCCCTTCTCTCCGATTTCTGAACAAGGTCAGCAAATCGAACTTACTTTGTGTGTACAAACCCGAGCAAAACCATCATATAGTTGATCACGCTTAACGTCCCTCAGCTTGCCTTGGACTGTCATCTTCTTCCATTTAGAAACAAGATATGAGACGGTGCCTTTTACTGTTTCACTGGCATGAATTAGCATGAGACACCGACGTAGCATTGTTTTAAAAATGAACTGTTCTATTTACAAAAGTTAAAGCCTCTAAATCCAAGACTTAACATGACACAGCCTCTGAATGCTCCTTTCAGCGTGATCTTGCTGAAGTCGACTTTCCCACATCCAGTGTGCGACTCTTTTGTGATTAAATGCCATGGATGTTGTGTCATTTTCTTGTGGGTGTTTAGTTAACGTATAATTCGCTTCTGCGAACAGAGCATTATATTCACAGAGCTACCAACTGTTCTGTGAGCATTGCCTCCTGAGTGTGACTCCTGTTTCTATATTAAATAACATTTTAGGTACCAGATGAAAATATGTCATCTTAGAGTAATTAATCCAGTGTCAGTGAAAATAAGTCATCTTAAAAGGATGTGTTGAGTATCCCAGTTTGTCTGAACTTTATGACAATTTTTAATGCAATATAAGAATATTGTTGCAGACTTCTAAATCTAGGCTGTCTCCCAACTTACTCCCATATCAGCGAGAACTTCACATCTGGCGTATCTGTCCTATGCTCCGTGTTAATTACAGAACACGCAGATATGAAGCTATGTGTGTATCAGATGCAGCCTCAGTGCCGCTTCTTTGTTCTTTCATTCATCTTTTCATTTCAGCTCTAGTGAAATATTCCTCGCATCCACTTTATCAAAGTTGTGCATAGTGCTTGCTCATATTAAATCCAATTCATAGTGAAAAGAAAAAACATCTGTTGGTAAACTTTTTCCATGTTAAATTATTATTTTCCACTGTTTTCTACTAAAACTGAATTTATGTTTCTGGCTGTTCTAGATTCTGCTGAATTTTACACCAAAGAAGACGGCCTTTCATCAGAGGTTCCCCCTTTGGAAGCTGGTTTCAGATGGTGGCTTAGAGTATTGTCATCTATCTAGCACCATTTGAAATCAGTGTTCTTGGGGCGGGAAGTAAGTTTCAATGACCAGCTGTGAGGTGTCAAAAGAAGTGCCCGGTGATAAAGGTACAACATGGAAATGTCACCACTGGAAGATGGAGTACCACTCGCAGAACTACAAACTTCTGGTCTACACTGACGTTTGCCAGCTTCTGCTTTTTGTCCTCTTTCCAAGGTTGACCGATTTCTTTCGGTGTTCAGAGTCTGCTTCTGTTTCTAGCACCATTTGAAATCGGTTACAGTGAAGGACAGATCTCATCTTACCTTGAGGAGGATTTTGCAACGAAGTGGTCCGCTTTTTGGTTGTTTTTTTTTAAATGGCCTTTGTAGAATCTATAGACATTGATATGTTTATTTTATTTTATTTTTTTTAAGAGTCTTTCGGGGTATACAACTCAAAAGTTTTGGGTCACCCAGAAGATCCCAGATTTTGAATGAAACCTTTAACTTCCATCCACCCACTTTCTTAACTGCTTATCCAGTTTAGTCACAGAGAAACGAGAGGGAGTGTGCAACCTGGATAGTTCACTATTGCACCACCTGACTAACCATTCACATTTACAGTTTCTTTGGAAACACCAAAAGAATGTCAGCACGGTGGGATGTTGCAACATTGGAGAACATTAAAAGCCTCACACAAAAAAAGTATTAGATAAGCAGGAGGTTCAAACCAGAAATGGTTTTGCTTTGAGACAACAACGCTGTGGTATTTATTGATGAGAAATTTCACAACTTGAAGCAAGGAGCCACAAGTTGGAATTTTTTAATGGGCACTTCTTACATACCTTATTGTCAAGATGTTTCCACAACAGCTAAGCAGGATTATATTCTCATGACAGAATAACAGCTGAAAGCTTCTTTTCGACATTTTTCTTGCAGTCTGTAGAGCTGTGCCTCATCATTGTCCTGTTATCGTGTTCCCACTTAAAATTTGTTTCTCAGAATGACCACACTAAGATTTTAGTCTTTTAAAATACTAAGGTACAACATTGGAACTCTAGAGTAGTGGTGTGCAATACTGCATATTTTGGTATCGATCCAATACCAAGTAAACAAGGGTCAGTATCGCCGATACCGATACTTTTCCATAAAAAATGTGGCTGCATCATTGAATTGCTAAATCTCAATTAATTTTCATGACTTTAACAGTTTTTTGTGATGTTTCTTTTTTTTATTGTTAAATAGTTAAAACCCAGGACATAATTAGGACATTTATAATTAAATAGAAAATGCTTTATTATCAATTTTTTTTGTAGAAAACTCTTAAATAAAAAGTGTATGCAAACCAGTAAACAAATTAAAAACAGTAGTAGTACTGTTAAGAAACTATAATACAAAAATTACAATTAAAATTCTCAACAACAAAACAACTGGTGAAAATAATATGTAAACAACTTAACAACCCCCAAAGCGTCTAAGTTACATGACGAGACGGCGCAACATCTAAACACAAGAGGGGGGAGAGGGAGCAAAGCGCGCCTGCTCTGTGCTGACGCAGGAGCAGCAAGTCCAGCGACCTGGCTGTTTCGTCTTTGCCAAAAGCACAGCATTGCAAACACGAGCGGAACTTAAAGTAAAGAATTGATCTCACCAGGCTAGCATCGATCCAAGACCGATGCCGACTTGGTATCGATACAGTGGATATTTGGATCGATCCACCCACCACTACTCTAGAGTGATTCTAGCTGGCATATGCACACCTATACAGTACTGTGCAAGTCTTGAGCCAAACATTATTTCTTTAAAATTTCAAGCAGCCAGACATTCTTATAATTTTTAAAAGTTGTTTTGAGAAATAACTCTCCAGACTCTTTGAAGGTCTTTCAAAAGTTTCATTCAGCTGTTTGGGTGATGTTATATTTTTTATTTTACTTTTTTTTGTCTTCAACCATTTTCTGTACAGTCCATGCACCTGATCATTTTTTTTTTCATTTGTGAAAACAACTTAAAACTGACATATTATCCAAATCATAACAGAGGCACCTTAAGGTGAAACTGAAGACATCATAAACCAGTGTTGTAAGTACACATAAGACAGAATTTGTGTTATTCTTTCAATAGGCAGCCTGTCACAGGAAAAAAAAAGTTCACATTGCAGTTTTATCTATGGAACATACCAAGGCTAACACAGTTTGACAGGTGAAAAATATAATTCCTGCATCAACAAAGTGATCCCCAAAGAGCGATTAGTCGGACACTTGGCATTTCAATATGCCCTTAAACAACTGAAGAAACTGGAGAATCGGAGGACGAAAAAGTGTCAGGCCTCTGGAAGTCATGTTATTAAAAAAAAAATAATAAAAAAATCAGCAAAGAGCTGACACGGGACCTGAGAGATACATCTGGCCCTTCAGTTGATTCCTCTACTGTTCATTGACGAGTCATCGTCTCAGTGGAATGGTGGCAGTCAGGAAGCCATTCTTAAGGGAGTGTGAGGAACACTAAATTACACAAGAACTCAACTGAAAATCACTAACAAAGGTCTAATACAGTGATCGATGCAACTTGGATTTTTGGTACATATTGTTATCGATGTGTATGGAGGTGGTCAGTGAAGAGGTAGACCAGTGAGTGTATGCAAGTCATTTGTAAAACAGGGTAGAGGCTTCATCATAATTTGGGGACACATTTCATTGAGTGGTGTGAAAATTGATGAGATTTTGAACTCAGAAAAGTACCATCACATTATGTTCCACCATGTAATAAAAGCTCTTCCAAAAGAAAAGACTGAATACATACTGTATTTTCCATGTATCCTTGACTGTTTAGATATATTTATAAAAACAAAATCAAAACTTCCTAGCATAATATGAAGAAATCAGTGGTGAACCAATACGTTTTTTTTAATAACGGTTGAGTAGCAACAATAATTTACTCATTTTATTTGGAATTTATTAATCCAATTATAAATCTGTAAAAGCTTGTGTACATATATGCACATTATCAAGAGGAGCTTGGCACACAGTTGTCTTCATTCATTTTATTAATATAAAATTTTGTCCCAAAGAAAACAATTTAAATCTACTTAAAAAGGAAAAAAAAGATTTCATTTGAATAAATAAATATTAAGCAAGGCAAGTGTGCTAATACTCAAAATATTTATCTTCATGTCCTGAACAGTGAGTAGTCAAAAGATCATTAACAAAAACAAAAAACTGATGCAGTGACAGGCTGATATCCACAAAGACGTTTAAAAGACATGAAATCCAAGTTTAAGGTTTTTTTTCTCCCCCTTGTCAATGAAACCTTGAAACTCAATCCCAAAGAGTTGATTCTGTTCATCGTAGCATTTCCAGTGGGAGAAACGTTTCATCACTCATCCAAGTGACGTCTTCAGATGAACAGAATCAACTTTTTGGGATTTCCTTTCCTGGATGATTGAGCATACATTAAGAGACTTTAAACTCATTTTGGCAAATTCAAAAAAAACAAAACAAGGTGGTGACATTATTAGAGGCCAAACACTGCAGGAAGTTTTTACACCCAATAACTGGGGTCACATTTACGAAATTCACAACTATTTAAATGAAGCACAAGCTAAAACAATTAATGATGCCTTACATTTAGGTTTGGGGCCATTTTACAGATCCAACTTCTTTTTCCCCCCCCCTTTCTTTCTGCAAGTCGTAAGTACAGGACTGGTTCATCAACCAGCAGTCCTATATACACACCAAACTGTTCCAACAAATTTATTTGATCCAAATGAGTAGTTACATGGTATCTAATTATTTTGGCTAAACTTCAGTTAAGCCATATGACAACCAAACAGACAATGTGCTAATTTTGCTTATTTTACACCATCTGTTTAAATGAACTACAATGGTCAAGTGGTGTTCCTTTACTACAGTGCAACAGATAAATTAAACATAGAATTTAAGCTTTTCTGATAAATATTTATACGTTTCTTCCTAATGATCAGAATACAGAAAGTCATGAGACAAGCCACTTGAAGCATAACATGTCCCAATCCAAAGATGTTTCTCGGTCTTTGGAAACCAATTTTAAGAGAGTTGCTCAGAAACTTCAGGCAAATGCGTGCACACGGAGGGCCTGTACATTCAAGACTGGTCCTTTGGCATTCTTCTTAGGAAGCTGTTTTTATAGACAGCAGTCGTGGAGTAGCCAGGCTGCCATGCTTACTGAAAAAAAAATAAAGTAAATAAATAATTGTAATTATATACTTTTTGGAAAAGTCTAAAACCCCCTGCAAACCTGTAGAGAAAGGAAAAAAATGTTTGAGTACTGAAACAGTTGTTTCACAAGTTCAGCCAAGGTAGAAAAAGAAAAAAGACCATCACTGAACATACATTATGGACATGAGTGAAATTATATGACAATGTATATCTACATTATCACATTAATCTTATTATTTGTTTGTTTTACATAAATTAGCTCAAGTGTTCTTCAAGATCCATCATCTTACCGAGAGTGCTACAGTACTTCCTCTCCAACATTTGTAGCATCTTTGTCAGTATTGCCTCTTCGAGTGCTGTAATCCAGTAATGACTGGTCAACATTATTGATAATACACAACAAAGCAAACAGAAAGCTACATGGAATGAAGAAGTCCACAGAAACCACCACATGCCTACATACCACTCATCCACAAGGACCACCCCACACAAGCAGCACCCGTGCCAGCAGCTACTCTTTCACCTCTTATAGTCAAAACAGCCAAATTTGTTTGATGAGATACAAAATATTACCTGTTCATTCCTGTTAGCAGAAACAAACAGGTCAATAAAACTTCATCAATAACAGCATATTTGGCTTTTTTTTTTTTAAGACTCCAATCAAAGCTAAAATAAATAGCAAATTAATATCAATGTTCCAAAACGTAATTAAATCCTTCATGCGACTAAAGAGATTACAATATACTTTGTAAACAATGCCTACATACTATTTGGGCTGTTTATATTTCTCTTATAAATACAAATAGTGATAAGATTCTGCAGGAAGAAACGATTATACCGCCACCAAATGCTCCCTTGTCACATTTAAAAAAATAAAATAAATAAATATCACTGAATAACAACCTCCACCGTTTTACCAGTTTATCGCAGACATTACTGATCCTAAAAGCAAATTTAACTCTAGCACCCCAATCCACGATGAATATTTGAACACAGCAAGTTCTATCCTCCACTATAGATTGTATTATATGTATGCGAATCTACCTCACTGATACCCTCAGTTTGTCAAGTCCAACACCGAAGTGTAAGACTTTGAAGTCCACAACGGGAAAGCCACCGAGTTTCATACAACGCTTCTCTGGAAATGTGTCACTGGTATGGCACACACTTCCCATTGTACAGGTAAATTTAAACAATAGAAAGTTTTAAAAATCCAAAAAATTAGATGCATTTCTTTTGACCATATTCACAGCCCTGAAATCTAAGAATTAGCTATGGTACATAAGCTAATGCAAATGAAACAAAATCTCTGTCGTGGTATTCACAGCAGTCGCATTGCCTCAGAAAGGGACATAGCCAAGCATCAACATATGAAAAATGTTGTATGTAACAACACAATTTAAACCACTACTCACCTCATTCATCATTTTAAAACACTACATGCTTTACTACCAGCTGAAATTGGCTGGGTTTTTTTTTTTTATTTAATTGTGATTATCAAAAATGTGATTAAAACCAGCATAGGTCATTTGAGACTGAGCTAAACCCTACAGCTCTGTGTAGGAAAAATAACACTGTAGTAGAGAAATACATTATCCAGGAAGCCTTGCGAAAAGTACAAAGTTTCAACATGCAATACTCAGATTATAGAAAGCTTGGATAGAAAGAAAAGCTGGAAAATTAATGAGTAGCTGAGAAGCAAACAACACAAAGCCATTACAAGGACAAAGCTATTTCAAGGGTTAGTCAGCAAAGTTCAATAAAACATAACTTTACCGCTTTTTTTTGCTGTTTTTGTGGTAAAACACACAACAAACAACAACAATGCCTCCAACGATGACGATGGCCACTTTGATGGGGCAGAGGGGAAAAATTAACAAAAACAAAAAACAAAGAAACATTTAAAAAAAAAAAGCAAAAGCTTAGTGACTGAAAACCTATTAGATGTCAATAAGGCCACAAAGGTAATAATGACACAAGAATATAGGAGACTGTTATAATGATGATACAATTTTAGATAAAGATAATCCTGGCAAATAACTGAGTAGTATTTAACAAAAGAAGGTGGAAAACAAAATCAGACTTGTCAAATAGTCTTCAAGTGAGGAGACAGTCAATGAACTAAACCAAGGTAAAGAATTCTCGTTAATTTAAAAAAGAAAAAAAAGACTGCATTCTTCTGCAATCTTGTTATTTTCAATTTTACTGAAATGTGATCCCCTTTGGACTGTGCAGAACATACTATGAACATACTATAGTTGTTAACTCAGGTAATAAGATAATAGGTCACTAGTGTGGCATAACTACAGTTATTATAAATCACTTTAGTGCAGAACTACACTGGTTTACAAAGCCATCATCCGTTTTTTATACAAACATTTTCAGCTTGTTTAACTTTCCATCAGACAGAGGTGTGCTGCGGCTGCAGGACATCCTAGACTTAATGGTTTACCAGCATTGTGTATTGATAACATTATATAAATAATTAGTGTAACCAACAAGTTGACCCAATCACCAACTGTAATTTTTTTAATGTACAGTCATTAAAAGAAAGGCAAAAAACAAAAAACAAACCTTAATATAACATCAAAGAAAAAAAAATACTATATTATACTAAAATACTGCCATTTAAATACTAATTACTCATATGTTCTCAATGTGTATCATAAAAATATGATAAGCATGCTGTAATATAAACATAATCTTTTTGGTTCACGCTCATGTTTGTACATTCACGATCTACTATAAAAGTTCAAAATTTCAAACTTACCCAAAACGCCAATAAGAACACGATTAGAACTGCCACTGCCACTTCCACTGTCCACTGGAGGTGAAGCAAAGGAAAAAAAAAAGAAAAAAAAAAGACAAACACCAATGAAAACCAAAGGAAGAGACAGCAAAATTGCTAAACTTATACAACTGACCCCTGAGTACACTGAAAAGTCTCTTTCAATCCCTGTGAACTGCATGCTTCTGGTTTATCAAAAGCATGCTTTCCATTTGTTATTTGAAATTTAAAAAATACATTAAAAAAAAAAAATCTACTTTCAGTATATGATGAAACTGACATTGAACAAATATACACCAAAAAAAAGTTGAAGTTTTTTTTTTTTTAATCTATTTTAACTTAATAAAATAACAATGTAGTTTAAAAAGGAAGCCAGTTTTTTGACCATGTAGAGTATTATCTGATAAAGCTAATCACATAAAATATTTATTATTAACATCTGACTTACGTGCACATTCTGGAATTCCTGGTGACCACAGACCACCTTTTCCACATGTCTGGGTACCTGATCCGGTTAGCTCGTATCCAGACGGGCAGATGAGAGTCACCGTAGCCCCATGTCTATATGGAGGTTGAGAGCTCACAATCACCTCAGCATTTCTCTTTTTGGGATCTTCACATCCTTCTCCAGATGGAACTGTTGAAAATATAGCAGTTTATACATATTTCCAAAAAAAAAAAAGACATGTTCAAACAACGTTAAGATATTTAGAGCACATGGAAACTGCTGCAAAGTTTGAGAAATAAACATAATAATCTACGTCATCAGATTTACATGAAAAATAAAAAATCCTATTAGTATGGCAAGTTTGATCACTCTTTCAAACGGTTACCATGTAACACCCAAAAATATATGTTACGATTTAGTTTTTTTTAAGCAATGGCACATTATGATGGTAGTATGACCTGCTGTGCTATACGTTTGGAGACAGTAGAACAAAAACAAACAAAAAAACAACAACATTATGCGGTGGCTGAAGATGCTAAGAGTTTTCTTGAGTGACCAGGGGAACAAGAGTTATATAAAGCATGTAGGAGAACCAGATTAGGTTCAATGGTTTGGAAATAAAGCAAGCGAAGTTAAGATGGTTTGTACCAAAAAGGGATAGAGGACATCCTGGTCAAAGGATGTGGAAAACAGAGCTGCCAGATGGAAAAATAAATAAATAAATTAAAAAAAAAAAAAAAAAAAAAAAAAAAAAAAAATGCTGACCACAGAGGGTTTCTAGGTGTAGTGAAAGAGAACATAGAAATGATTGGTGGGAGGGAAAACAATGCAACTTAAAGTCCAGACGCTTTTCTTTGCAAGCTCCTTTGACTACGATGACCTGGATGACTGAGAACCTTCACAGACACAACGAAAATCATACATGATTCCAAACATTTTTTTTACAAATAAATAACTGCAAAGTGGGGTGTGTGTAATTATTCAGCCCCCTTTGGTCTGAGTGCAGTCAGTTGCCCATAGACATTGCCTGATGAGTGCTAATGACTAAATAGAGTGCACCTGTGTGCAATCTAATGTCAGTACAAATACAGCTGCTCTGTGACGGCCTCAGAGGTTGTCTAAGAGAATATTGGGAGCAACGACACCATGAAGTCCAAAGAACACACCAGACAGGTCAGGGATAAAGTTATTGAGAAATTCAAAGCAGGCTTAGGCTACAAAAAGATTTCCCAAGCCTTGAACATCCCACGGAGCACTGTTCAAGCGATCATTCAGAAATGGAAGGAGTATGGCACAACTGTAAACCTGCCAAGACAAGGCCGTCCACCTAAACTCACAGGCCGAACAAGGAGAGCGCTGATCAGAAATGCAGCCAAGAGGCCCATGGTGCCTTTGGACGAGCTGCAGAGATCTACAGCTCAGGTGGGGGAATCTGTCCATAGGACAACTATTAGTCGTGCACTGCACAAAGTTGGACTTTATGGCAGAGTGGCAAGAAGAAAGCCATTGTTAACAGAAAACCATAAGTCCCGTTTGCAGTTTGCCACAAGCCATGTGGGGGACACAGCAAACATGTGGAAGAAGGTGTTCTGGTCAGATGAGACCAAAATGGAACTTTTTGGCCAAAATGCAAAACGCTATGTGTGGCGGAAAACTAACACTGCACATCACTCTGAACATCCCCACTGTCAAATATGGTGGTGGCAGCATCATGCTCTGGGGGTGCTTCTCTTCAGCAGGGACAGGGAAGCTGGTCAGAGCTGATGGGAAGATGGATGGAGCCAAATACAGGGTAATCTTGGAAGAAAACCTCTTTGAGTCTGCAAAAGACTTGAGATTGGGGCGGAGGTTCACCTTCCAGCAGGACAACGAGCCTAAACATAAAGCCAGGGCAACAATGGAATGGTTTAAAACAAAATATATCCATGTGTTAGAATGGCCCAGTCAAAGTCCCAGATCTAAATCCAATCAAGAATCTGTGGCAAGATCTGAAAACTGCTGTTCACAAACGCTGTCCATCTAATCTGACTGAGCTGTTTTGCAAAGAAGAATGGGCAAAGATTTCAGTCTGTAGATGTGCAAAGCTGGTAGAGACATAACCTAAAAGACTGGCAGGTGTAATTGCAGCAAAAGGTGGTTCCACAAAGTATTGACTCAGGGGGCTGAATAATTACGCACACCCCACTTTGCAGTTCTTTATTTGTAAAAAAAATGTTTGGAATCATGTATGATTTTCGTTCCACTTCTCACGTGTACACCACTTTGTATTGGTCTTTCATGTGGAATTCCAATAAAATAGATTCATGTTTGTGGCTATAATGTGACAAAATGTGGAAAAGTTCAAGGGGGCTGAATACTTTTGCAAGCCACTGTAGAGGATTATGATCTGCTGTGGCAACATATAAAGCAGGGGTGGGCAATAGTAGTCCCAGAACTTCATGCGCTCTTTGGGAAAAATGCACAACCTTGCTAAAAGGGAGGAAAGCTGGATATTGAGATCTTTATGAGCTTTAAAATGAACTGTACCTGTTGGTTTCTTTGGGGTAGAAGGGTTAGTAGTGGTTATGGTCGTAGTGGTTGTAGTGGTAGTAGTGGTAGTTGTTGCGGGTTTTGCTGCAGGAACAAAAAGTAAGTCAGCAGGGATGTGTAAAATCCCAACTAGAGATGCAACTATTTGATTGGAAAGGATAGGACATTGGTCTGATCCTCACTCAAAAGCCTGGAATAAATTTTGATTGCATATCTGCGACAACAAGCCAATCTATAGCCAAACTACAGTTTTGGCTGTAGTTTGGCAAACTACAGTTTAGCAATAGCCTAACAATTGACAAAGATCACTCAGTTTAAGTCTGGGTTGTTTACAACAGCAGCAGTGTGCTGATGTTCTAGGAGGACAGCTAGGTAGCTAAAACAACACAATGGAAACATGCAAGCAACCGCAGCTTTATAGATATTTCAAACTTGACATGACAAGACCTTTTGTTTCTAGGTTAGGAATAGTTTTTCTTCCAAGTGAGTTAAAAGTTCCAATGAAATCAATGCTTTCCCTGTTTGGCCTCTCAAACACATCAGATAAACTGATATGCCATTTATTATAATTACAGCCATAAATGTAAAGAGAATATGGATTAAGAATCATATATCAATAATATTTATTGGGCAGATTTTATTTCACAAAATTACGAAAGCAATGTTTAACCTGAACCGGATGTTCCCTTATAGATAAGAATGGTTCCTGGTGTTGTCCCCAAAGGGACAAATACAGCTTTTTAAATAGGGTTGGGTATCGATTTCAATTTATTATAACTGCTTTGATTCTGATTCAATTTGATTCGATTAAATTTTGACTCAGTAACAAATATATTATAATTCTGATCATTTATCAGTACATATCCATACTTTTATATCTCTGTATAAAAACAAAACTGACACTTATGAGATTTCATCAGAGGTGTAAGCATCAAAGCAGATGCCTTTGTGTTAAAGTAACAGAGGATAAAACACAAAAATATGAAGGAGATTTTCCTGGCCTTGCACTTCATAGCAGATAACCTCCTTAAAAATATTCTGCAGTAGATCAAAAACGGAAGAAAACCATGAATCAGCAGATTAACATTACCTGATGCTGCTGAATTGAAGCAGAGCAAAGTTACAGAGGTTTTATTAAAAATACTGGTACGTGTTTTACGATTTGGCATCATTTGTAAAAGTTTACATTTCGTCAGTATTGAAGAACAGAAATTAGGCTCTCTTGTTGGAGGTAATTTTTGAAAAACAAAAGACAGCGGCCAGCAGCACTGTACACAACAGTAGACAAGTGCGTAATAAGCCAGCAAAAAACTGGAGAAAACAGATTTTTGATGGGAAACTGGTCTTAAAGTACACAAGGAGAGAGAGCTGTGCAGTAAGTGTGATTTTATCATGGTGGAAGCAAAACAGCAAAAGTAAGAGAGAATTCATGATGATGTTTTTCAAACATGAAACGTCGTTTGGATCTTCTTTTGCTGCTGGTTGAGTTAAGTTTTACCTGCCCTCATTTGTTGTTTTAACTGTTTGTCAGTTGTTGAAATAATTTTGTGAGCTTTAACCTGAGATTCTGGCATTTCTGAAAAAATAAATTTATATTTAAAAATTGATTCAGTGAATAGATATCACATTATTCAAACTTAAATTATTTTGAAAAGGGAAAATCTTTTTTTTTTTTTTTAAATCCAACCCTACTTTTTAATTCAAAGCTAGTATTGGACACACTTAATAGAGGGAGCACTCATCATGCTTTTACCAGTTGAGATCTGATACAGAGTAACTCTAGGTATTTGGTGAGATAGGTATTAGGGGTGCAACGATACACAAAATTCACGGTTCGGTTCGATACTTTGGTGTCGCGGTTCGATATTTTTTCGATACAAAAAAAATGTTCATGCCTTTTTAATTTGTCATTTACTAAATTTTCACGGCACATTCTGCACCACATCTCTGTGCTTTCATCATTTGTTTGAAGCCAGCTCACCTCCTGCAACTACTGTCGAGCGCAGATCCACTGAGCGCTCAACACAGACAGCACCGTCAGAAGGAAAGTTGATAAAATAAATTTAATATTTTGTATTGTTCGATACATATGCGTACCGAACCGAAAGCACTGTATTGAACGGTTCAATATATATCTCAATCTTTTTTTTTTGTGTGTGTCAAACCAAACCAATGTCCCTCTGGCTCTTAATTCATATGATACCAAACAGAGCGTAAAAACAATCGAGCAAAACAGTCCGATCTTCTCAGTTCACTTTCAGCAACTTTGCACTTTGAAAGCATACAAAGAAAAGCAATTGGTGAAGCTGGCATGATATGCCTCTAAACTGCTGTGGCTTTGATTAGGTGATCATCCTTCATGCTATAATAGTTCTGCCACTAGATGCCAATTGAACCAATATCCACAAATCAGATCAGTGCATCCCTAGTAAATCATGTGGTCATTACCCAAAGCCAGGGTATCAGTTACAAACTGGAAAAGTTGAATAAAATTTTCCCAACAGGAACAGTTCATGCATAATATTAGCTTTATGTATGTTACTGATTATTTCTTTTAAAAAATGCTGAGCAATGATCTGAAATGGAAAGAATAATCTTTCGTAAATGCTTTAATTTAATCATGTAACTGGATATTTTCTTTACATTATTGAAATATAATAATGCAAGAAATCAAGAGTTAGCTGCCAAAATCCATGCATTGAATGAATGAGGAAAAGAAAGACAGCACAAGTCAGCAAGCTCCAGCTTTGAGCAGGTAACTAAAAGCTTGAATTATAACACCTTGCAACCAACATGTTTTGCTAGCATATGACGAGATTCAAAAGAAACCTCATAGGAGAGGTAAACTGCCATTCAGCATTTATCAAAAATGATCATTAGGAGGAGTTATGCTCAGAATTGCGGGTGAAGTTGCACTTAGAGCAAAGAGATGATCCGATTGAACTCAGTACATGCAAATAGATATTTTAATTTTTGACTTACGAATACACTGAGGAAGTGCAGGTGACCACTGACTATTTAGCTCACACATCACAGTCGCGGATCCAATCATTTTGTATCCAGTGTTACACTGTAATGTGACTGTAGACAAGTATCCATATGGAGGCCGAGCACCGCTACTCCACTGTCCAAACGAAATCTCTGGTTCCCCACATTCAACCTCTACAGGGAAAGAAAGACATTAGTGCAGTTGTCAAAAATGATCTTTCCATAATATGTATTAACCTAATTTATACTACACAAGAAAAACAAAACAAATTATTGAAAAAAAATTCAAAACACTTACTGATACATTTTGGAGGCTCAGGCTTGAATGTTCCATCATCCGAACAATCCAACTGTCTTGATCCATTACGTGTATAGCCGCTTTTACAGGTGTACACTATAACGTCTTTATAGTCATAGAGTTCTTTAATTGGAGTGAAAGTGCCATCCTGTACAACAGGTGGTGATTCACATTGTGTCACTGGAAAATAAAAATACAAATCTATCAGAATGAAAACAAACAGTGAGCTTTTAATCAGGGGTGTGACTTGTGTTACGACAAGACAACCAACCTTCACAAACAGGCAACCTGCCCATCCACCCTTGGCTTCCACAAGTGAGTTCTCCTCCACCAACTGGCATATGACTGATTCGAGGGGAAAAGGTTAGTTTAGAGATTTGATTTCACATGACACAGAACAGCAAGTTTTTGTTTTTTTAAGACATGGAATTGCAACATTTTAGTGATTTAATATGCTACTACTAAATTCAATCTAAAAACTAATTATCTAAACACTGTTTATTAGAGCTAGCATTGTATTTTGGGAGCATTTGGGAGCAGGCTGAGGGTCGCAGATGCCAACAGACTCAATAAACTAATCCGTAAGGCCAGCAATGTTGTGGGGATGGAGCTGGACTCCCTCAAGGTGGTGTCGGAGAGGCGGATGCTGTCCAAGATAAAGACAATGTTGGATAACACCTCCCACCCACTCCATGACATGCTGGTCAGTCACAGGAGCACGTTCAGTGAGAGACTGAGATTACCGAAAAGCACCACTGAACGACACAGGAAATCTTTCCTGCCTGTGGCCATCTCCCTGTACAACTCATCCACTTAACACACTGTTTGCTGCTACAGCTACACATGTTTCTTGTTCAGCTATTTATTTATGAGTGACTTATGTATGTATGTATGTATGTATATATGTATGTATATATGTATGTATGTATGTGTATATATATATATATATATATATATATTATATATATATATATATATATATATATATATATATATATATATTGTACTATTCTTAGTTAGTGTATTGTCTGTCTTGTCTTAATGTTGGTTTATAATGGAGCACTGTAACAAAAAATAATTTCCCCCAGGGATCAATAAAGTATTCTGATTCTGATTACTAACCCGGGGTTACAAATGAGCACTGCTTTATCACCAAATTCAGACCCAGGACGATATTCAATCTGTCCATTTTCAACTTCCCCCACAGGGCCACAGTTCTTCCCTGAAACAAGAAAAAGAAGGTTATATTGGAACTTGTTTTTATAACATTATGTGTAATCTCAACAAATATAGTCTACTATTTATGTAACATGTTTATGTGCTTAAACTGGCTGTGAAATGCAGCTGCAATAAGGAATTTGAATATCAAATCAAGTTTTAATATTCACGTTGGCATTTCAACCCCAGAGAGCTCCAACTTCCAGCAGTACAAGTAATACGTGGGGACCCTCCTGCAGACTCATATCCAGTGTTACAGGCAAAAGTAACTGTGGTCCCATCTGGAAAACTAGTTAGAAGAATGTCATTGCCCTTTAAATCCATATTTTCTCCTTTAGGAGGTCTGGGACAGTTTTGAGCTGTACTTGGGAAAAGAAAAAAAGAAAAAACATACAGACAAAAAAGAGAGAACATAATTTTAAGAACAGGGTAACCCAAGAAAAACACCATGCTGTGTTTACCGTGTCTCAAGCTAATCCGGACTGCACTCACCTTGAGCAGTAAATGCCAGAAAGACAAGACTGCTCAGCAGAAGGAATGCAGTAATACCCATGACAGATCTGACAGGTTAACTAAAACCAAGAGCCCTTTCTGGTACAAAACAAAGGCAAACACAAGAAAGACAATCAGAGATATTACTTGGTCATGATAGCTGGTACTAACAAGGCTCTCCATTGAATCAGGTCTGTCACTGCTAACACATTAACTAGCGGAAGGTAGCAGGTGCAAACATTCGGTCTTCGGTAATGTTTATATATTTCGCTAAACCAAAACCTTAACAGTAACCAAGTTTAGGTTTTAAAAATGAAATATTTGAAAATACTGCCTCCCCTCTCCCTTTGTCGCGGCAGAAAACAAACCTAAAGTCTTTCCATATTATACAACTTGAAGGCCACGATAGCTTCGGCTGGCCGATCAACATGTGTTAAACTAAATGACAGGTAGGTACGGGTAAAAAAAAAAATGGCCGTGAATTCTCGCAGGTCACGTATGCTACTCTCGGTCTTCCTGGAGCCAAAGATACCGTGAGTGGTAACACAGCACATTAATAATCGCGTAATTTAGCTTACAGGGGGTTAAGAAGATGTCACTGAAAGATTAAAAAAATGCTGATTCCATCTGAATGTCTGCAATTTGGTCAAAATCCATAAACTGTTAAATCGCCTTCGGCTGCGTTAGCTAGCTAATTGTTAGCTAACTTAGCAGCAACGACGGATAAATACAATAATATAGCACTGTTATGGGGTCGACGCTTTGTTTTTGTTTTTTCGGTTGTTACGGACGGTTAAAACAAACGACACCATACCTTACGTCTGAACGCCAAAAATGATGACCGCTAACAGTCCTGCTCTGAAAGGTTATTTCGGGTTTCTGCTTGTTTTAATGTGGGCTGCGTCTCCTTCTCGGAAGTAGGCGCGGTCAAACAGTGACGTGCTTGTTCTTCAGAAAGTCTTAGACCTTAGATTACAGCTCGCGTACTTCATAATAATGAAATAAACGAAAGAAACAAAGCTCTTAAGTTTGTGTGGATTCACATAAAACGAGTGTAGTACTTGTAGTGCTACCAATAAGCCAAATGAGGGTTGTTGTACTTCCATCCATTTTACTTAGTAAATGTAGCACCAGGAAGAAAAACTTAATTAGTTGAAACCGCTGTATTTCTGAAATTAGTCTGTATGCTATAACCGTTTTTTTGTTTTTTGTTCTGTCTTTTCTGAACATAATACGCACAAGTTTATGAGCCCCACCCACCATAAACCCAACACTTCCTTATTACTCTGTTGTTCCATACTTCACATAAATATGCAGTTTTCCCTTCTTAAAGCAGTATTAATAGGACACAGCACGAGACCTGTATATAAAAAGACACATACACCTTTAAGACAATATGAAAGTGCAGGCTGTTCTTTACTGTCCTTGAAAAGCTTTGGCCCTCTTTTGTAAGCCATGCATACTACTTGTGACATACTTGTGAAAACATTTTGTGTTGTAAATTACAGTGCCCAATACATTCAAACAGGGTGACGCATTACAAAACAGGGCGGACTGAATCAATGTGAGGAAATAAACTTCCTGCTGTACTTTGGTCTGTTTATTCACCATTCACAATTCCTGCTTTTTCCAAATGTTTTTCCAAACATTCCTTTAAATGACATCAACCACACTTGAAAAAAAAATACAAAAACTTCAGAGGATTATTTTATTTATTTATTTAAATTTGTTTTTACATTTAAAACAACCTACAGAAGAGAAAGTGCAACTCGTACTAAACTGTCTGGAATCAAATGTATTTAAATACAAACTTTAATCATAAGTGTAAATGGACATTTAAACTTACAAATTAACTTAATACCTCCTTACAAATTAACTTAATACTTTAAATGTGTCTTTCACATGTCAGGTCATTTTTGTATGACCTCCACATGACCCCTGTTCACAATTACTTGGCAAGCACGCAGAGATTCAAATTTATTTAATGGATTTATCCTGAAGTTTAAAACTGAGACTTAAAAAAGAGTGATTTCATATTAACATGAAACCAGGTGATTATAAGCAAAAAGAAATGTTCAAAAACTTGTGGAAACTGTTTATCAAATAGTGTTTTCTAAACATAAAAGTGAACATTATATGATCATTCACATGCAGCAATGTGAAATCAAATTAAAACAAAATATGATGACTTTTGTGACACTCCACATAGCCAAACCATTTATATCATATTGTATATCTGGGTACACGGGCCTTTCTTAACTTATCCAGATCTTCCCTGAAATAAGACCACAGACAGGAGGAGACCATTATTCAGTCATATCGAATCACAGGATTTTCACATTCACAGAATGGAAATTACTAGAATTGTCCAAAATTATCTCTATATTATGCTAGCAACCTCCTGAGGTATTTAATACAAATTTTAACAACAATTGAGAAGTGAAGCTACATATACTTAAGCAATTTTAATTCATAACATGCGTATACATTAAGGAAGTCCAGGTGACCAGTAACGTTTTTATGTCACGGTAAGGTTTGCATTGATTATGTATCCAGGTTCACACTTTAACATTGCTGACGATAACTATATCTTCAGAGGTTAAAAATCCTCATTCTATTCATCATTTGGACTCTTCATATTAAACTTGTGGGAAACAAAAAGGAAACTGTATATCAATACAGTGATCCAAAATGACCTTATCTATCATTAACCAGGAGACTGGTCCAATTGAGGCTATAAAGGCAAAGTTGGAATTTAAAAATACATATTAAATTCACGTACACATTGTAGTAATTGCACACCTTTAATACCAAATCATCTACAGAGAAAATTAAATGATATGATTAGATATGCTTAGAGAGGCACGTCAGTTTTAGCTATATATTTTGTGTAATATGCTGAGATAATTAGAATTAGAGCTATTTGTATTTATTAGAGCAATTTTGTTATATTTTATAACCTTGTAATATGCTGTATTATTTCACTTAGTTTAGTTAGTTACTGTACTTAGAGTCTTGGAGCAACTTTGACCACATAATTTCTGCTTTGAAAGCAATGTTTAAGCCAAACCTGATGTTTGCTTATAAATAAAAAGAATGGTTCCTGGTGTTGTCCCTACAGTGAGAAAAACAGTTTTTAATTCAAAGCTAGCACTGGACATGCACTCAAAAAAACGCTGAGTAATGATCTATGTAAATATGGTAAAAATCTTCTGTTGTCAGTTCTTTAATTTAATGCTGTAATTCAATAAGTGTCTTTACATTACTGAAATATAATGATGCAAGAAATAAAATATTAGCTGCCAAGATCCATGCATATATTCATGCTCATAGTAGAGGTAAAGTGCCATTCAGCAATACTCTCCACTTTTTGCTGAAAATCACTGGCCAGGACCCCGTAGTCTTCATTTACCTGCCTTTTTTGCACTTTTCATAAATATGCAGCAGGAGGACTTAGGCTCAGAATTGGGGTTGAAGTTGCACTTAGAGCAAAGAGATCATGCTTGAGCTCAGCACTTACAAATAATTATTTTAATTTTTGACTTACGAATACACTGAGGAAGTCCAGGTGACCACTGACCATTTAGCTCACACGTCACAGTAGCGGATCCAATCATTGTGTATCCAGCGTTACACTGTAATGTGACTGTAGACAAGTATCCATATGGAGGTCGAGCACCGCTACTCAACTGTCCAAATGAAATCTCTGGATCTTCACATTCAACCTCTGCAGGGAAAGAAAGTAAGCATTGGTGCAGTTGTCAAAAATGACCTTTTCCACAGTATGTATTAGCCTAATTTATACTACACAAGAAAAAACAAAATAAGTTATTGAAAATAACTCAAGACACTTACTGATACATTTTGGAGGCTCAGGTTTGAATGTTCCATCATCCGAACAATACGACTGTCGTGATCCAACAACTGTATAATCCTTTTTACAGGTGTAATATATAACATTATTATATTCATAGAGATCTTTATTTGGACTGAAAGAGCCATCTTGTACTACAGGGGGTGATTCACATTGTGTCACTGGAAAATAAAAATACAAATCTATCAGAATGAAAACAAGCAGTGAGCTTTTAATCAGGGGTGTGACTTGTATTACTTTTTTTTTTTTTTTTTTTTTGCCTGTTCCGTTTGGCTCTTTTGCCATCAGAATTGTTGTCTAAAGGCAAAGAAAGATGCCCAACGGACTTACTTTACCAAATTGACCATCCCAGCCTTGCCGTAATGGTCCATTTGATTCACCTTTTATTGTTTATTTTATTTTCACTTACTGAATATGGGACAGACTTGACTGGGGGAAAGAAGGGGAGAAAGAAAGAGGGAAAGAGAAACAGCTGAGAAGAGGGACGGGGGAGAAGGGCAAAAGACAAAAACCAACAGAACGGGCAGAGAAAAAAAGAAAAGAAAAAAATGCATATATCAATCACCTGGATCACCTGCTGAGAAAGAAAAAAGAAAACAAGCAGAAGAGAACAAGAGTAATAGAATAAACAACATCACAATGATATATGGGAATATGATAGTAAATACTAAATATTAAACATTATTGTGCAGCACATAAGATCAACAGAACACAGTGTGCTTTGAGGTAGGAGCCAAAAAGGGTGTAGTTTGTGGGTGTGATCACCCGTGTGTACACCTGTGAGCATGGACGCGCTTGTTTTTTTTTTTTAAAGGTTCCTTCATGTAATGATCTGCTAGAGGGTGTGGGGGGGCCACAGCCCCGTCCTCCAGGGCATGAAGCAGGTATGGAGGAGATCAAAACTCCAGACATCCAGAGGCCCCCAGAACACAAGAGACCAAGGAAGACCAACAGAGGGGCAGCCGCGCCACTGTCCCAGAAAGAGCTGAGGAGAGTCCCAGATGAGGGCTCACTCAGCAGCCGCGGAGCAGAAGCCAGGGGGAGTTGCAGTGACGCGCCCGTGAGCTCCACCGGCAGCCAGCTGCGCCTGAGTGACCGAGCCCCAGGCCGAGAGGCCGGGGTCACCCCACCTCCGAAGTGGCCCGAGCGAGCCCCAGGCTCCAGGCCCCGATAAGCGGCCGCCAAGGAGTGAGCCGGTGTGTACCTGGACGCCCATCCCCGGACACAAAGAACCACCAACGCACCGATGTCCGAGGGGGACCGCCACTGGCAGGGGAAGTGGTGGTAGGGGGAGATAGGCCTCCAAACCTTGGAGGGCCTAAGATGTCCCCAGAGAGGTGGCGCCTGACACCCAACCTGACATATAGACACAGAAATACAGGCACACACAGATACAAACATCCATTCCCACCCTCATGCTCTCATATGCACTTACTCCACACTCAACCAATGTGGAGACAGACATAAAGAGACGCTGTACACACGATCACACTCCCCAAGCGTACTCTACAAACCGGGTCTAGGTACCCTTGCCCCTGGAGGGGGGAACTGCACCCAGACCCAGGTGGTGTTACCCTTTTCCCTGCGTTGGGGGGAGGCAGACCGCCCCGACTCCGCAGCAGCAGGGAGGCCCCACACTCCAGACCGCAGTCGGACGGCCAACTCCTCCTCCTAGCCCCCCCCGCTCCAGCAGGTCGCAGAGAATGGGGGTGAGAGAAGACTCCAAACCTCCCTCCACCCACTCATTGTAGTGTTGATGCATGTGTGTTCTAAGGTGCATTTAAAACCCAGGAGGGCATGGAGGTACCTGCCAGAGAGCGGCAGGTAAGCGCATGGTCCCTCCTGCTAGCCCTCAATGTCTACGTGTATGTGACTTGTATTACGACAAGACAACCAACCTTCACATACAGGCAACCTGCCCATCCACCCTTGGCTTCCACAAGTGAGTTCTCCTCCACCAACTGGCATATACCTGATTCGAGGGGAAAAGGTTGGTTTAGAAATTTTATTTCACATGACACAGAACAGCAAGTTTTTGTTTTTTTAAGACATGGAATTGCAACATTTTAGTGATTTAACATGATACTACTAACTTCAATCAAAAAATTAATTATCTTAACACTTTTTATTAGAGCTAACATCGTATTACTAACCCAATGTTACAAATGAGCACTGCTTTATCACCAAATTCAGTCCCAGGACGATATTCAATCTGTCCATCTTGAACGTCTTCCACAGAGAAACAGTTCTTCCCTGAAATAGGAAAGATGAGGATTAAATTGGTTCTTTAGAAAATTTTAGATGATATTATGTATAATTAATTCCACAAAGAAAGTGTACTGCTTATGTAACATGTTCATGTGAGTATTTTTCTAGAGGTCGAGATTTTTTTTAAACAACAATTTTAAGAATGTTTCCAGGATGGGGAGTAAATTCTACCAGACACCCATTCTCATGTGCTTAAACTGGCTGTGAAGTACAGCTGCTATAAGGAATTTGAATTTAAAATCAATTGTTAATATTTACTTTGGCATTTCAACCCCAGAGGGCTCCAACTTCCAGCAGTACAAGTAATACGTGGGGACCCTCCTGCAGACTTATATCCAGTGTTACAGGCAAAAGTAACTGTGGTCCCATCTGGAAAACTAGTTAGAAGAATGTCATTGCCCTTTAAATCCATATTTTCTTCTTTAGGAGGTCTGGGACAGTTTTGAGCTGTACATGGGAAAAAAGAAAAAGACAAAAAATAAAGACAAAAACAGAGAACAAATTGAAAACACTTACCGGTACTGATACATTTTGGAGGCTCAGGCTTGAATGTTCCATCATCCGAACAATGCAACTGTCTCGATCCAACAACTGTATAATCCTTTTTACAGGTGTAATCTATAACATCATTATATTCATAGAGATCTTTATTTGGACTGAAAGAGCCATCTTGTACTACAGGGGGTGATTCACATTGTGTCACTGGAAAATAAAAATACAAATCTATTGTTTTTTTGTATTGTATTGTATTGTATCTTTATTTGTTTCAGACGTATAAAACAAAAAACAATATATACACACTACATATATTTTCATTTACAGATACGAATATATATGTAGATATACACACACACACGTATGTGTTCAGATAAACAAAAAAATATAATGAAATAAAACAAAATCGTCTGACATAATGTAACAATGTTTGGTCTGAAAAGGAGTAGGAAGAAGTATGAACATACTTATTAATTCCTACCCCTGCTCAACATCTTATTGATCCCACATAATTCACCTAATTCCCATCATCACATACTCCACACAATACACGAGGAGAACCTATATAAACTTGGCTACCGTGATTGATATAATTTGGATATAATTTGATATTTTTATACATACAATGGGTGATCATCTTTATCGGTATCATATTCTTCCAAAATCAGTTTTCGAAGTATTTTCATGAACTTACTAATTCCTGAGCATTGCTGTAGATCTATAGTAAAACTATTCCAGTTTTACCCTATAAATAGTGACACAAAAGGTTTTAACCTTTGACCGTGCTTTAAGAATCCTTAGATTCAATTTCCCCCTCAATTCATAGTCTCCTTCTCTGTCATAGAACATCCTCTGTATATTTCCTGGTAACATATTGTATCTGGCCTTGTACATAATTTTTGCAGTTTTATATTTTATAAGATCCATAAACTTCAGTATTTTTAATACAAAAACATGATGTTAGTATGGTCTCTAAATCCTGCTTTATTAATCATCCTGATTGCTTTTTTTTGAATTTTACATATTGGTTGAAGTGCAGTTTTATATGTGTTTCCCCAAATTTCCACACAGTATTCCAAATATGGCAATATAAGTGAACAATAAAGTACCCGGAGTGATTTGGAAGGCAAAAAATATTTAACTTTACTTAGTACGGAGATGCTTCTTGACAGTTTGGCTTGTATATGCTTTATGTGAGGTTTCCAGCAGATTTTGTTATCTATTATCACACCCAGAAATTTTGTATCCGAAACTTGCTCTATTTCAACATTGTTTACTAATAATTTTGCTCCTGCATCTTTTTTACAATTTCCGAATAACATAAATGTAGTTTTTTTTCCAAATTTAATGATAGCTTATTTCTATCAAACCATGTTTTCAGTTTAATCATTTCTTGTGTGACAATTTCCAAAAGCTGCTGTAAATTCTCTCCAGCACAAAAAATATTTGTATCATCTGCAAATAGAATAAACTGTAGTATATCTGATGTTCTGCATATATCATTGATATAGAGGATAAACAGCTTTGGTCCCAATACTGACCCCTGCGGAACTCCACAAACAATCTATCAGAATGAAAACAAGCAGTGAGCTTTTAAGCAGGGGTGTGACTTGTATTACGACAAGACAACCAACCTTCACATACAGGCAACCTGCCCGTCCACCCTTGGCTTCCACAAGTGAGTTCTCCTCCACCAACTGGCATATACCTGATTCGAGGGGAAAAGGTTGGTTTAGAAATTTTATTTCACATGACACAGAACAGCAAGTTTTTGTTTTTTTAAGACATGGAATTGCAACATTTTAGTGATTTAACATGATACTACTAACTTCAATCAAAAAATTAATTATCTTAACACTTTTTATTAGAGCTAACATCGTATTACTAACCCAATGTTACAAATGAGCACTGCTGTATCACCAAATTCAGTCCCAGGACGATATTCAATCTGTCCATCTTGAACGTCTTCCACAGAGAAACAGTTCTTCCCTGAAATAGGAAAGATGAGGATTAAATTGGTTCTTTAGAAAATTTTAGATGATATTATGTATAATTAATTCCACAAAGAAAGTGTACTGCTTATGTAACATGTTCATGTGAGTATTTTTCTAGAGGTCGAGATTTTTTTTAAACAACAATTTTAAGAATGTTTCCAGGATGGGGAGTAAATTCTACCAGACACCCATTCTCATGTGCTTAAACTGGCTGTGAAGTACAGCTGCTATAAGGAATTTGAATTTAAAATCAATTGTTAATATTTACTTTGGCATTTCAACCCCAGAGGGCTCCAACTTCCAGCAGTACAAGTAATACGTGGGGACCCTCCTGCAGACTCATATCCAATATTACAGGCAAAAGTAACTGTGGTCCCATCTGGAAAACTAGTTAGAAGAATGTCATTGCCCTTTAAATCCATATTTTCTCCTTTAGGAGGTCTGGGACAGTTTTGAGCTGTACTTGGGAAAAGAAAGAGAGAAAGAAAAAAGATACAGACAAAAAAGAGAACAGAATTTTAAGACGAAACACCATGCTGTGTTTCTCAAGCTAATCCACTCACCTTGAGCAGTAATTGCCAAAAAGCCAAGACTGCTCAGCAGAAGGACTGCAGTAATAGCCATGACAGGATCTGACAGGTTTAACTAAAACCAAGAGTCCTTTCTGGTACAAAACAAAGGCAAACACAAGAAAGATAATTAGAGATATTACTCTGTCATGATGGCTGGTACTAACAAAGGTTCTCCATTCAAGAAGATCTGTCACTGCTAACAAATTAATTAACAGACAGGTGGGAGGTGCAAACATTCGGTCAAGTTTATATAGTTCGCTAAACCAAAACCTTAACAGTAACCAAGTTTAGGTTTTAAATATGAAATATCAGAAAATACTCGCTTCCTTTTTTCCCCTTTTGTCACAGCCGAAAACAAACCCAAAGTCTTTCCACATTTTATAACTTGAAGGCCACGATGGCGCGTTCAACATATATGTTGAACTAAATGGCAGTTAGGTACGGAAAATGTCTGGGAATTCTCGCAGGTCACGTATCCTTGATCCAAAGATACCATGGGTGGTAAAAACAAACAAAAAAACAACCATAAATAATAATAATAATAACAACAACAATAATAATAAATAGTAGTGACAGTTAAAACAGACAATACCATACCTTACGTCTGAATCGCAGTGGTGGCCGCTACCAGTTCTGTCCTGAAAGCTTATTTGGGGTTTCTGTTTGTTTTAATGTGGGTTGCGCGGTCAAACAGTGACGTGCTTTTTCTTCAGCCAAAAGTTTCAGACTTTAGACCACAGTTTGCAAACTTTATAACATAGTAATGAAATACACAAAAGAAACAAAGCTCTTAAGTTTGTGTGGATTCACATAAAATGAGTGTATTGCAGTGGTACATATTCAACAACAAGGAAACTATCAATGCAGTTATCCAAAATGACTTTATCTACCATTAACCAGGAGACTGGTCCAACTGAGACTATAAAGGGAAAGTTGGAATTAAAAACATATTAAATACACGTACACATTGTAGAAATTGCACACCTTTAATAGCAAATCCTCTATGGAGAAAATTAAAATGTCAATACAATTAGAGAGGCACGTCAGTTTTAGCTGGGATATTTATCATCAGAGCTGTTTGTATTTATGAGAGGCATTTTGTTATATTTTGTAACTTTGTAATATGCTGTATTATTTCACTTTGTTTAGTTAATTAATTAAGCGGAAGCGAATGGATGGATGGATAGTTAATTACTGTTCTTAGAGTTTTGGAGCGACTGTAACCACATAATTTCCTCTTTGATTAACACAGGGTTTTAATTCTGATACAGATACATGTTGGTTGAACAGTCTTAAATGATAACAACCTTAATCAACTGTGTCTATATTCCTTTTTACAGATTTACTCTTTAACTTTATAAAGTTTTTACACATTAAGAGAATACTGACAGGGAATATTAGAGCATATTCCTCCTATATTGGCTTATCTTCATTGGTTCCCTGTTACATCCAGAATTAAATTTAAAATACTTCTCCTCACATACAAGGTCTTATGTGATCAGACTTGATCTCATCTTACCAATAGAGAGGAGGTGTGAATGGTTCAGGTGTTGTTGAAGGGAAAGATCAGGAAGGCTAAGGACAATTACAGGAGAAAGCTGGAGCGGAAACTCCAGCAGAACAGCATGATAGAGGCGTGGAGTGGCATGAGGACAGTTGCTGGATTCAGGTCATCCAGCAGCAGGGGAGCTGGGGGTGGTGTGGACAGAGCAAATAAGCTGAACGTGTTTTTCAACAGATTCGAGATTGCAACAAATGTTCACCCCCCTAATGACTTACCTGTAGTCAGCCTGCAATCCACAGCCAAGCCACTCTCTCTCCACATTGCAACACAGCCTCCTGGTAAAGTATTGAAACCCCTTCCCAAACTGTTACTTTCACTCATGACCAGATTCAGAGACAAGTCAGAAGATGTTCTCAGGCAAGTCTGCTGGACCAGACAGGGTGACTCTCCATGTCCTCAAAGCCTGTGCCACACAACTTGTGTGGGATTTGTGTGGGACTCCAGAATCTTGTGTCCTGGATTGTTTATTACCTGATAGGTAGACCCAAATATGTGCATCTTCAATATTGTCAAGGTGATCAGCAACACAGGTACCATCCTCTAACTCTTTCCTCTTCACCATCTGCACCACAGACCTCAGCCCCTACACAGAGACCGCCATCTTCAGAAGTTTTCTGATGTCTCTGTGGCGGTTGGATGCATCCCTGGGGATGATGATGAAGCCAGGTACCGAGCTGTGGTTGACTCCTTTGTCATGTGGTGCCAGCAGAATCATCTGCAGCTCAATGTGAGAAAGGCAGGAGCCGATCACAGCTGTCTTAGGGCGAGAGGCACCAACAGAAACATGCATAATATCAAATTTACTTATGTTATTGATTTAGAAATGGGAGTGTTAAAAAATTTGAGTGTTTATCTGTGGTTATAGGGTAAAGATAATCATCTCCTTTTAATCTTTTCAGTGTGTGGTAAATAATTGAATAATTTCTTTACATTATTGAAATATAATGATACAATTAAACAAATAAAGCAAGAATTTAAGAATTAGCTTCCATGGTCCATGAATTAAATAAATGACAGACAGAAAGGAAGCACAAGCCTGCGAGCTCCAGCTTTGAGCAGTTAGTCAAAAGCTTGAATTATTACAACTTGCAACCAACATGTTTTTCTAGCATATGACGAAATATTGCAATGGAAAAATCATCTACTTCAAAAGAAACCTCAGAGTAGAGGTAAAATGACATTCAGCATTACTCTCCATTCATCTTTGTGCTGGCCAGGAACCCTTAGTCTTCCTACAGCTGCTTTTTAGCATTCAGAAATATGCAGCAGGAGGAGTTAGGCTAAGAATTGGAGGTGAAGTTGCACTTCAAGGAAAGAGATCACGATTCGAATCAGTTCAGTACATGCAAATAATTATTTTAACTTATGACTTAGGTATACACGTAAGAAGCCAAGGTGACCACTGACCATTTACCTCACACATCAAAATAGTGGTTCCATTCATTTTGTATCCAGTGTTACACTCTAATGTCACTGAAGACAGGTATCCATACTGAGTTAAAAACATAATCCTCTAGAATTCTTTAAAAATTATTTAGTAGATCCAAAAATGCTACGTCCAGATGAACAGAATAAACTTTCTGAGATTTCTGGATGATATCTGGATGATTGAGCATGCATCAAAACTTAAATGCTCACCAGGTCCTCCAGCAGGTCTGAATTGGCCAGTGTACCTAAATTACTCCAAAACCACATTGACGACTCATCCAGGAGGTCACAAGAGAACCCCCCCCCCCCCCCCCCCCAAAAAAAATGTAAAGAACTGCAGGCCACAATTCACTCAATTAAGATCAGTGTATTTAACAATAGGAAACAGACTGAGCAAAAAGGGCATCTACGGAAAATAGACATTAATGCAGTTTTTAAAAATGCCCTTCTCCACAGTACGTACTAGCCCAATGTAGGCTACAGGGAAGAAAATGCAGAGCAAGCTATTGAAAATTATTAAAAACACCTACTGATACATTTTAGAGAGGATCAGGCTTGAATGTTCCATGTGGTTGCCGATTACACTTTAAGTGTAATCGGCAACCACAACTAGTAGATTGCAAGTCGACACTGAAAACTGAAAGTTGTGTCTATTAGAACTGCAACAGACATCAAGATAAAATAAGTAATGATAAGATAATTTCTGCAGTGTCAGAGATATGAAGTCTAAAATAATCACATACCAGCTAACATAAAACGATAAAATATACAATATATGCAATTTATGTTTCATAAACACCACATATGCAGAAAGTCTAAGGATATAACTAGTGTTTTGGAAAACACATGGAGTGGGTCTGAGTATAGGATGCAGGTGCAAATGGGAGCTCACCTCACAATAGACATTCACTTTGATATAATCACCCACTGAATCATAGACTACACGGTGAACTAACATTGGTAAACTATTTACCAATGTGCTCTAAATGATTCACGTGCACTCTAGCTTTTTATTGGTCATGCTCCAGCGTTAATGGCAGGCATACAGCTATACTCACACCCATTTATTGGGATAGGAGGGATCAGCCAGCCTACATTTGGAGATGGTCTGGCTTACAACTTTACACAACTTTACACTGGACTTCACTAAAACTTCGGAGGAAACTGGTCTCACAAAACATATACGCTATGACCATTTGGATTTTTTGCAACTTAGAAATCTATTGCAGTTACTGTTTCTGACATAAAACAGTTTTATGATTAGGAAGATTTACTCATAACTATAAAGTAAATCTACTGGACCTTTGACACTTTTATAGTGTTCTGTTCAAATAACAAATGAAGTCCCAGCCAAAAGTTTTGGCTGATGTAAACATTCACTTTTTATGCTTCATACACTTTGACACGTCAGATTTTATGATGATGATTGTGCAGGGTGATCAGAAGCAGCATATACATGAATTACAAGGAGCTTCTGGGTTTAGCCTAGAAGTTGATGTCCAGAATGCCACAGAGATTTGCATTTGTTTTGATAAATGGTTGATGATCCCTGTATTTTGTATTGATGTTTTATTTATTTGTCTGTGACTATGTACAAAAAACATTAATGTCTGAAAAGAAGAGATTTGTTGTACCAGATTTAGCCGATACCTACTTTCCAGCTGCAGTTCTTGAGATGGCCTTATCAATTATTCTTCAATCCCACCAGACCAAAACGGCAATGCTGGTTACTAATAGCATATTGTAAATACCCAAAGAATAAAAGTTGTTGATTTAGGACTTTAGGCCAAAATGTCAGATATTTCAAATCAATCTAAATCTGATTTTTTGGTGCTAAGGAGAGCATTTTTGTGTCTTTTTGTACATGAGTTGGTTTCCCTGTTTATTGTCTGTATGTTTTTCTCTGATAGACTGGCAATCTGTCCATTGTGCAAACAACATCTGTCATGGTCCTGGGTCGAGCGACCCAGTGTTTGAGTTTTATGTATCTTTTGTATTCATTTGTGCCCTAGATTAGTTCATCTAGTTTATTTTGAGATTGCTGTTTAGTCCTTTGTTTCTTAGTTGTTTATGTCATCTCCCCCTGTACTCAGTCTCCCTGGTTCATGCGTCATGTCTGCGTGGTTATGTTTAGTTCATGTCATGTCTAATCTCCATGTTTCCTGTTTTACTTTGAAAGTCTGTATTCAATGTCAGTATATTTAGTTTCACTTCTCCTGTCCTGCCTTTAGGTTCATGTGTGTCAGCTGTGCTCCCATGTGTGGCCACTTCCCCTGATCATCCCTTATGTGTATTTAGTCTCTGTGTTTCATGCAGTCTGTGTCGCGTCATCTGTGTTCTCACCCACCATGTTTGTATTCATAGTTTTCTGTGGCATCATAGTACCAGTTTCCCAGCTTAGTTATAGTTTAGTTTCGTCACAGTGCTTCTACCTTGTTTGGCCCCCATGTCATCAGCCAAAATAAAGGCTCGCTTTTCATTTGAACTCAGTTTCGTGTCTTCGCCTGTGTCTGCACCTGAGTCCTCCACACACTCTCCACTCGGTCTGCCACTGCGGATCATGACAACCTCTTCTCCAAAGTCAGCTTGGTTAGGAACAGAATATCATCACAATATTGTTGGATTATTGAATGAGTACTTTGATGACCTCTTTAATCCCACTGACACTTCTTCCATAGAGGAAGCAAAGTC